GGAGAGCCTGAGACCGTATATTGGCAGAGTAGAGCCAGGTAAGACTTTAATGTTGAGTCCATTAGAGGAATGCCATTTTGGCTACATTCACCCTGCAAGCCTGAACACTCAACAGATTGTTTTGCCCATATCAGATTCCAGTGTGAACAACTCATAATCCTGAAGTGACTAGCATGACAAATGTCAAGAAATGTAAATTCACATTAATTAAATTGATGTGACTGCTCACACTGAAGTCACATTGCAAAAAAAAAAATGGGACTTGTATCTGATTTGGCCCACATATAAAAGTGTCCCAAATCAGAATTGGAAGGATCAGATTCTTTATGATTTGTGCTGTTCACATTGTGGCGAGAAAAAACTCTGATTTGTGCCTGCAGTGTGAACATAGCCTTTCAGACTGCATGTCAATTTTATATATTTATAGACAAGTTAATAAGTTCCATTTAAGGGTATTTGCTTTACACAGCTGGTAACTAATCAATTCAAAACTGACAAGAAAGTACAAGACAATTATATTAACATGTATAGTGAAGAATCAGCAGAGAATGATGTGTACAGTTATTACTTTGCGCATGTCTTTCCAGTTTGGGTCACTTATGTGCACAACATGGCGTCTTAGATGAAGAACTGAATGCGTAGCAATGATTGAAATGTGGTTGTTATATCATTCATTGTCCTGCCATCATTCATTTGCTTTACATTTTCCTCTTTTTTATCCACCACTCTAACATTTCATCATCTTAAATAGACCCTTATGAGACATTTTATGTGTTGCTCTGATCCAAAACACCTTTAATCAGTACTGAAAGCGGAATAAGTGGCCATCAGAACAGGCCTGTAATCAGACAAAGAAAACACACATGTCAAACCAGTAAAAACTGAAGGTTGGTTGTCGTTCCTTCATGTTTCAGAAAAGCTTTGTGAGCTGCTGAAATGCCATAGTCCGGTGGGATCTTGGTGTCAGGTGGTTCGGGAAAATGGAGTCCTTATCCCCAAGTGTGTTTGTCCACAATCCTGTCCACGGTAAATAACCCATTTAAACCAAGTCTGTTTAGGATTGTTATAATTTTCTGTTTTTTGACCAGCAAATGTGCTCAAATGTATCCTTTAAAAGTGAATTATTCACTATTTTTGGATTTGTTAATAATACC